AACTAATATGCAGAGTACATCATGCAAAATACCTGGCTGGATGAAGCACAAGCTGGAATCAAGATATCCGGGAGAAATATTAATAACCTCAGATACCCAGATGACACCACCCTTCTGTCAGAAAGCAAAGAAGAACTAAAGAGCCTCCTGAGGAGAGTAAAAAAAGTTGGCTTATAACTCAACTTAGTTCAGAAAACTAAGATCATGGCATCCGGTCCCATCACTTCATGGCAAATAGATGGGGACACAAGGGACACAGTGACAGACTTTATTTTTTAGAGTTCCAAAATCACTATAGATAGTGACTGCAGCCATGAAATTAAAAGATGCTTGCTCCTTGGAAGAAAAGCTATGACCAACCTAGACAGCATATTAAAAAGCAGAGACATTACCTTGCCAACAGAGGTCAGTCTAGTAAAACGTAGGTTTTTCCCGTGGTCATGTATGGACATGAGTGTTGGACTATAAAGAAAGCTGAGCGCCGAAGAATTGATGCTTTTGAACTGTGGGGTTGGAGAAGACTCTTGAGAGTCCCTTGGACTACAATGAGATCAAACCAGTCAATCCTAAAGGAAAGTCAGTCCTGAATATTCATTGGAAGGACTGATGCTGAAGCTGAAGTTCTAATACTTTGGCCATGGGATGTGAACAACTGACTCATTGGTAAAGACCCTGGCACTGGGAAAGATTGAAGGTGGGAGGAGAAGGGGACGACAGAGGATGAGATGGTTGGATGGTATCACCGATGAAATGGACATGAATTTGAGCACGCTCTGGGAATTGGTGATAGACAGGGAAGCCTGGCATCCTGCAGTCCATGGGGTTGCAAAGAGTCAGACGTGACTGAGTAACTGAGCTGTGCTGTCCAAGAATGCAGTCACTAGTGAGAGATAGCCATTTAAATTTAAATTAATTAAAATGAAACACAAAATTTAGTTCCTCACTCACACTAACTACATTTCAATTGCTTAGTAGTCATATATGGCCAGTGGCTACTGTATCATACAGCAGACCAAACATTTCCATCATCTCAGAAAATTCTAGGAAACAGCAGCTCTAGATAATTTGCACAACCTCAAAGAGAGAAGGGGGGCATTCAAAGTGCAAGACTCTCTGACTAGTTTATGCTAAACCAACAAGTTCTACTGAAGGGGCCCCTCCTACAGGGTGAAATACTCTATAAAAGGGCTGGCTCCTGGGGCAGTAACAAATGAACTATTGATCATTACTTTATATATTTCTGCTAGTTTCACTGGGATACTTTTTTTTTTTTTCTGGTGTCTAATAAATTCACTCGAAAATCAAGTGTCAGAGGTTTACAGACTTAAACAAATTGTACCTCAACCTAAAACAGAACAGTTCCACCAACAAGCGGCCTTTCCAGAGAATAAAGAAAAATCATTCCCGTATTGTAACAATGGCTTGTCTTGGGGAGGGAGAAACAGAGGAAATCAAGAGAGAATTTTAGCAATATTTTAAAATTCTTTTCTTTTAAAAATTTCTGTTAAAAGGGACAAAAAAAAATAAATTCTTCTGAAAAACTAGTACCTCTTAGCATCAAAACCACTTAAGGAGATACATATTTAAGAGTGAAAAAAAACATATATCTTTCAGAAAATGCATAAAGTATAAAGCAATAAGAATACAATTCACTGAATCATTAATGCAAGTTTTATCTACTCTGATATTTTGTGCAGCTGGTATTCCATTACATATTACGCATTTCCCAGTAGAATGTTTATTTAATTTTCTTGATTTACCCTCATCATTGTATGAAGATGTTCCAATCAATTTTAAATTAATAGGCTGACTTCATTTCGAATATGCAGACTACATTTTACTGACATATTGTGAACACTACAAAAGGCTGATTATCTTTGTTGAAGTATGCCAAGATCCTCTGATTTTTTTCAGCCTTTTCACCCTTGAGATTTAAAACTCAACTCTTTAGCCAAAGAAATTGAGCCAGCATAAACTATAACTATTAAGATGAGTTGCATTTAAAAGTGTTTTAATTCCCCACAGCTTTCTACACAATTCAAAAATTATGCATATTTTTAAAACTTACAAAATGTTCCTTAGACTTGGGAATTTTATTCCCATAGCAATTAATATCAGTGGATAATCCTTAAAAAGTATGAACCTTAATGACTGGCTTTAAAAATGTGTTTATTTAGAGAGACAAACAGTCAGAAAAACACGTTTAGCATTTGGAGTCAGAAGGGCTAGATTTGATGACCAATTCTGCTAATTCTTGAAACCTGTTTCTTTGTGGAGAAAATGGGCCTAGTAAGAAGGCATAATTTAAGCAGAGTTGTTGTAGTGATGATACAGAGCACGATCCAAAAAGCAGGTTACTTATTTTAAACTCTGATCAATGTTAATAAGGTGAACTATTTGAAACAAAACCAGAACAAAATAGCTATGATTAAAAGACAAATCACAGAACGATAACCTCCCTTTAAATACACCTAGTATTATGAACAAAGAGATCTGTGAAAAATGTAAATAAGGGACTAAGTATTTCTTTATCAAATGTCCCATGAAACAGAACTTCCTGGGACTTTTCAAATGTAACTTAAAAATGGAATTTAGACATTCTTCATAAGTCCACTTATCACAGGAAATAAAGAAGATCTGTAATTTATATAAATTGCATCTGTCATATTGTTAAGTCATCAGGTCCTGATATCCTCCTGCCCATGTTCAAATCCGTCCCATCACTGACTAGATGTGGACCTTAGGCAGCTTGCACTTCTGACCACTAACGCTGTCATCTGTAAAATGGGGATGATGACACCAACTTCATGGTGCTGCTGTGATAACTAATGATGATGCCGTGAAGACTCTCTCACAAAATATGCATACTATAAAGTTTCAGTGAATGATTGAATTTTAGCATTTTGATTGGATGATTGGTTATGAACACTGTCCTCATGTGATAGGAAGAGACAGACCAAGCTAGCTTTCTGGTGTTTCTTTTTATTTATTTATCTATTTATATTTAGGAAAAATTGTGGATTTTATTTATTTATTTTTTCCATTTATTTTTGTTAGTTGGAGGCTAACTACTTTATAATACTGTAGTGGTTTTTGCCTGGTGTCTCTTTTTATAATGGCACTAATCTCACATTGAGGGCCCCACCCTCACAACCTCAACTAAAGCTACCTACCTCCCAATGTCCCATCACCTAAAGGTGCTGGGGCTTCAATACATGAATTTGAGAACAGTGGGACAATTCAGTCCATAGCAATAACTTACAATCAATCAATGCTGAAAGAAGGTCCTGAATATTTGGCAGTATGTGGGAATTACTTTGTAACCCTGACTAATTTACCTTCACAAAACATGATAAAAATAAAGAGACCTAAAGTTGAGTGCACAATGACTTAAGCTATATTCCTGAAAACATCTTAGGAGTCTTTTCTAGAAGAACAGCTAGTTTCCTCTTGCTTTTTCTGAATGGGAAAGAGATGAGCTTCTTGTTGTTCAGTCACTCAATCATGTCTGACTCTTTGTGACCCCATGGACATCAGCATGCCAGGCTTCCCTGTCCTTCACTATCTCCCAGAGTTTGTCCTTCACTATCTCCTGGAGATGAGCTAAAACAGGATAAATTTAAGTTAATGTTCATAAAGCACCATGCCTCTTTTTAACATGGTCATCATGTTACAGAAGTTACCTAAAATGACAAAAGAGTAATCACACTGTTGATTTTGAACAATCTATATGAAACACAAAATTAGTCTTCTAAGAAATGATAACAATTTGTTACTGAAGACATGTATGCAAATTGTCCCACCTGTGTTACTCTTCATACAGGCCAAACCTAGCAGGAAGCTCTAATTATCATACCAGCTGGAAGGCTTAACAAGGGTGTTGCCGGCCCACAAATGCAATTTGATTCTCAGCATGACTGCAAGAATGGCAATTTACAGCTCCAGCAATAAGGAACTAGGAATATTAACGTTTTATTAATTTATACAATGGAGGGCACATTGTTCTTAGATTAGCCAGAACAACAGAAAAGGAACATTTTGAGGATCTTATATTAATATTTCACTTATTATTTGGTGCTAAATTTGGATTACAATAATTATGGTAATGATTCTAACAGTTATGAAGCACACATACCTGTGAACAAGGTTTTTATTATAATTACTCTGTTCACAGCAGACAAATATTTCACTTATGTAAACAGCCTGAATTAAAAATCAAGTCATAAGGTAAATACCTAAATTACAAATGGTACTGCTTAATGGATGAATCTCACAGACATAATATTGACTGAAAGAAATCAGACATAAAAGGGAACATAATGCATGATTCCTTTTCTATGAAGTTCAATAACAGTCAAAGCCAACCACTGGTGTTAGGTGTCGGAGGGTGGTTACTTTTGGTGTTGGATTGACTGGAAGAATGAATGAGGGAGGCCTCACAACTGTTAGAAACATCCTATATCTTGTGATACAGGAGGTGAGAATATTGGTATATGCATATGGAAAAATCCCTTGAGCTTTACACATAAGATTTGTGCATTTCACTATTTGTGTGATACATCTCAAGTGAAATGAAAAAAAAAGTCTATAGTGGTAGATAACCATCTAGTAAAAATGAGTAACAGATCAATAGTACCAGTTAATAAATATATAATAATCTTTTTCTTTCATAAGACAAAGTTTTCAATTTTAACTTTACTTTAGTAAATACCAAGGGTCCCCTTAGAAGGTTGTAAAACCCATCCTGTGTAGCACAGCATTACATATTCCACATTTCAATGTGGCTACAACTCCTAATATTCCTGTCAAGATTGCCACATAAGCTGGGTTATTGATAAAACAATTGCTACTCCTGTAAGGAGTTTTATTTGCTCTTGTTGCCTATCAGCCTAGTACACAGCAGAAAATATACTTGAAAAGAATCAAGTTCTATAAATAGGAATAAATGATTATGGAGTAGGCATCTCTATAATTGTGTTTTTACTTTTTTTTTTTCCTAGTTGTTTCTCAAGAAGTACAGCTGAAAATTGAACCATAAAGTTTGCCTTGACAGAAAGGCATTAGCCTACCACACTAAAGCACCAAGATAGGAGAGACAGTTATTTATGAAGAAACACTATTTGCTATTATCCTTGTGAGATTCTACAAAAGGGCTAAATATTGATGCATTTCCAAGTCACCTTTCCCCCACTTCTTGTACTAACAAGCAGGAGTGTGTTTTGGATGCTCCTAATTTGTCAAGATCAGGTGAGCAGAACCGTTGTACAGAGCACAATGCTCCCTTCCTACAAGGGCTTTGCAACCCTGCAGGTTATTAATAATTCACAGGTCTTTCTTAGCTCACAACAGGGGCATTACTCAGAGGGCATCACTCTTACTGAAAGAAGTTAACGGCAGCGGGCCTTCAACGCACAAGTCAAACAAGAAGACTTCTATGAATCTGTGCACAATTAAGACCTGTTAAAGAGCTCCAGTTACTATAGCCCCTCTCCACCCGCCCCTCCTCCACCAAAAACACTCAGCATTCTTCACCTGTTTATTCTGATGTTGTGCGGATGTGCTCAGTCGTGGCCGACTCTTTGTGACCCCATGGACTGTAGCCCACGAGGTTCCTCTGTCCACGGGATTCTCCAGGCAAGAATACTGGAGCAGGTTGCCATTTCCTTCTCCAGGGGCTCTTCCTGACCCGGAGATTGAACCCGAGTTTCCTGCACTGCAGGCAGATTCTTTACCACTGTGCCACTGTGGGAAGCCATGGTGGGAAGCCACGGAGAGATTAAATCGCCCTCCATTTATTTGGCTGTCCACTAACTCCTGTCACAGTATAGTCCACAGATGGAGAGGGGGCCAGCTGGCCAAGTCAGAGCAGAGCATTTTTAGACTTTTAAGAACTGTATTAACACAGAAATTCTTTTAAAATCATTTCACTTTGTTCCATATTGAAATGGTCAATGCTGCTGGGTATAGACATGGTTCTCTTAACTAAATTAGTATGTCCAAACTAGCCTTTCAGGCAGAATTCTGACATCTATCATAACACAAGAACTTCTGGGTTCCAGCATTATTTATTTATCAAGGAAATACATGAAGGATCCCAATGTCTTTATGACTGAGAAGAAACAAGTCTCCCGGAAAAGGAACACTATCTTTTATGGTCTTTCTCAGTACGCTTAGGCCTCCTGGGTAAAATGGAAACCACTCCATAAAATTCATCTCAAATAACAGCAGTCCCACCTCAGAAGTCTAAAAGGGAGAATTAGGAAAGAGTTTAAGATAGTAGAACAAGGTAAAGCCTGTGGCCCATGACTGAATGTCCAGCTTCTTAAAAGCATCTCAAAAACAAGAGAAAATCAAAAGCAGATACTGTCAGGCCTAAGTGCCTATGGAAGTGTGGTCACCAATTTCAGACCAATGGCATATGTCAGAACTCTTTATTCTGAGTATATGATAACTCAGAACCAGATGTATTACTCCCTCTAAATGGAAGACATTCATGTCAGTTAAATCAAAGCATTTATTATATTTTCCTGCAGATGTACTTCAGGAAATAAATTTTGTATTATCTAAAATGTACTAAAATACAACTTAATTTTCAAGTAAAATTTATGCTTTCTGTGTATCAGTAAAAAGGAACTTTGCTTTAGCTAAAAATATTACCTAAATTTTACTGAGGATTTCCCATGCATCAGGTACCTCTCTAAGCATTTTACATACATTAATATATCTATAATGCTCATGACAATCCTATGGAGTAGGAATTATTACTACTTCCATTTCACAGATAGGAAAATCAAGCAGACACAGAATGCTTAAGTAATTTGCCCAGACACCCAGCTAGCAAATAATGAAGCTGCTATTCACACCCAAGCCGTCTGTCTTCAGAGCCCACAGTCTCACACTGAGTTCTCTGTCTCTTAGTTTAAAGGCACCATTTATTCACTCCATGAGAAAGATCATCATGGAAAAGGAATAGCTTTGACTCATTAGGAAGGCTGAATCAACTTTGGGGAGGATATATCTATCCCCTACAAAATAAATAGAATTCCACCACCAATCACTGTTATCAGTGACACTTGCTCTGTTAGTAGGCACAAGAGTTTCAGTGACTAACAAAGAAAATGCTTTCAGACAATCTGTAAATGCATAACGTTATTGATAATAATATATGATAGATAACAGGTCAAACAGAAAAATTTGATTCTATAACTACATCTCACTCTCTTCCCTTACTTGAAATTGACATCTTTGAAGTCTCCAGTCCCTTTGAGATTCTAACCATGTTGAATCATATGTTCATCCTCAGGGTTTTTAATTTTTTGTTCTTAAACCAGTGGAATGCCCCAAGTCAGAGTAAGCACAGTGAAGCAATCTTCAAAAACCCTGGGGTTTTCTTTATTGATAATTCCAAATTTTAAGTTCTGCTCATCTGATGATTACAGAAAATAACTACCAGATGTCCCTCCTGTCACTGAATTTATGCCTGCATGCTGCAATAAATAGTTTGATCATGAAGGATATGATGTTCTAAAAAATGGAGCCTTCTATAGCAGTACTACAATCATTTACCTTGGATGTCTGCGACGGACCTCTTTCAAAACAAAAAGAACTCCACCAGGATGAAAGTAAGTTATCATTTATTTTTCTAAGCATATTATTTATTTTCTACATGTGAAAAGCATCATATTATAAATAAGGAATCTTTTCATAAATACCTAAAAAACTTTTGCAAATTAAAGTCATTGAGTTATTCTTTTTGTTTGTTCCAGCTAAAAATACAGTTTAAAATGCTATAAAGAAATCACAGTAATGAGAACTGACAGCCAGGAAGAATGAATATACAACCACTCTATTTACAAATGTCAGTGGTAAGGTTCAGGAAGACTGGACGCAAACACTGGTCAAATCAATGAAAAGAGCATGTACATCTAAAGGAGTGGCTTTTAGTTTTTAAAATCATAAAACACAGTAAGAAGTGCAATTTACATCAAGACCTGATAAATTCATATACATTCATAGGCCTCTAAGTGAAATCACAGCTTCATGAAACCATACAGACCTTCATAGATGAGAAGCTCTCTCCTTTCTACTCTACTCTTCTCTATTCTATTCCATTAAAAGACAAAAAACTAGCTATAACTGGCTAAGTTCACTTTGTGAGTCACTATCAGCCTACTATTCCACACTGCAGAGCTCTGATCTGAAGGGGATGAGAAAGCCACACAGCCAGAAGCAGCAGCAGCAGAGAAACAGGGAAGTGAAAGTGAGGTCGCTTAGTCGTGTCCAACTCTTTGCAACCCCAGTGACTGTAGCCCGCCAGGCTCCTCAGTCCATGGGATTCCCCAGGCAAGAATACTAGAGTGGGTTGCCATTTCCTTCTCCAGGGGATCTTCCCAACCCAGGGATTGAACCCAGTTCTCCTGCACTGCAGGAAAACTCTTTACTGTCTGAGCTATCAGGGAATCCCAAGGATGTGTCAGAAGTGGGATGTGTCAGAAGAGAAATAATAATGATCCCCCAAACAGAGACATTGCATCTTCTGGTTCCCATTGCCTCCAGGAAAAGATATATGAGTGAGACCTCCAGAATCATGAGTGTATCTACTGTCCCAGTATATAGACTGAACTTATAGACTGAACTGTGTCCACATGTAGCCTCATGAAAGTATGTTCCAGGTACCTCCTTACCCAGGCCAGGTACAATTGGTGAGCCACTTAAACATTCATCACAGAGCTGTAAGAATCAAAGAAGCAGTTTGTCGGTCCTACTTTGGGCAATAAAGGACAATGAGAGTTTATCTTCAGGTTTTTCTTTCAACACGGTCTTGGGTCAACAGTGAACAGGTGCACCAAAGTAGTCCATGACCAATGAAAGTGTTGGGAACAGCACTGAAGCCATCACCACCTCTGACGATGGTCTCTGCCCCAAACATATGAAAGGCACTCAACCTGGAAAAGGAGATTCTCCATCCAGTAGACTTCATCCCTCTGTCACCAAACTATGAGATGCCAATAACTAGCTTTTTTTTTTTTTTTTTGCTTCTAAGAAACTTTAGTTACTTAAAACATGTGCCTGCTAAGTCATACCAGTCATGTCTGACTCTTTGTGACTGTATTGACTAGAGTCCACCAGGCTCCTCTGTCCATGAGATTCTCCAGGTAAGAATACTGGAGTGGGTTGCCATGCCCTCCCTCCAGGGGATCTTCCAGACCCAAGGATCCAACCCCCATCTCTTCTGACTCCTTCATTGAAAAGCAGATTCTTTACCACTAGCGCCACCTGGGAAGCCCCAAAGTGAAAGTGTTAGGCTCTCAGCTATGTCTGACTCTTTGAGACCCCATGGACTGGAGCTTGCCAGGCTCCTCTGTCCATGGGATCCTCCAGGCAAAAATACTGGAGTAGGTAGCCATTCCTTTCTCTAGGGGATCTTTCCGACTCAGGGATGGAACCCAGGTCTCTTGCATTGTAGGCAAATACTTCACAGTCTGAGCCACCAGGGAAATCCCGCATAAATACATATTCCCCAAATATTCAAATTCTCCAATTCAGATCTCTAAAAGCTTGGTGCTCTCGCTAAAAGCTTAACTGCAGCCTTTTTAAAAGAGCCATTTGAGGAGGGGCGTAGGGACTGAACAGTCATTTGAATGGGAGGCAAATACCAGGAATGAATCGGCTAGTTCAGGCTGCACATGGACTTTTAATATGACACACAGAAATTACTGAAGATAAAAAGAAGTGTCTACTGACCTGGTGCACTTCCAGGGATAGATAATGGAGCAACTTGGTGTTTTTAGATGCAGAAGAGGAAATACGGAGCCCAGGGAGGCATTTCTGTCATTAGCTGCAATCGGGAGCTGAATCGTGATTGTTTCTCTCATTCTACAGGCCAGAGAAGAGGGTGATAGTCATGGCAAGTGGCCGAACAAGAGGCTCCAGAAGCAGAATCAAGTATAAAGAATAAGCATACAGGATGCATGTCTTCTCCGGCAGCCGTTTGGAAACCTGCCCACCAGCATTAATGCTCCTGGGAGCAAATGAACAGATGGGCACCTCTAAGCTCAGAGACCCACTCAAAGTTACTCAAAATTAAGATGTGCCATTCCTCAAGAGAAATTACAGTCCAGGAAGAATTTATTTACCTGTGACTAACCTAAGAACAGTTAGCATAGTTGAAAATTATATCCCTCTGAGTCATCAGGGAAGCCCTGAAAATTACACACAAATCAATTTAAGTTAAATTCATGTTAAATGTGAAGTTTCAGTCCAAAAGGAATGGTCCTTATCTGGATTTTCTATGTTAGGCCCACATTCATTTTTTATACCAAACAAATAAGATTTAGCACCACAACAATTAAGTGAATATGATGTAGATGGATTTGTCAAGTACGCTTTTTAGCTCTAAAGCTTTAAAGTCAAATTCTAGTAACTGCCAATATGATCCTATCACATCCATACCTGTCCTCTACACCGCAAGTCAGTGTAATCTGCAGACAGAAATGAGAAGAAATTGAACATATTTTATGGCTGTTCTGCTTGAGGGAAGAAGAATAAGGTAAATCAATACTTCTTGTCATTTCGTAAAAATACTGTATTCTCCAAGACATTTAGCCAGCATTTGCCCATTTAAGCAAGGACAAAAACATAAAAAAGAAAGTTTTTAACTCAGAAAATTAGCACGTCAATATTTCTGGGTCACAGAAATTGAAGTCATAGCATGCACTGCTTCAAAATCTAAGTTAAATACATTCTCAAGGTTGGTTGCTCTCAGTAATGGCAACTATCATTAAGAAAACCTAAAATTTCAGGAATGAAGAGTCATATTTAACATCCTGTTATTGCCACTGAAATATTACTAAATTTATAGCACCATTAAAAAATGCTGCCAGGACATGACTTTCTTTGTAAAATTAGATCTGTAAAAACATTCTATGTCTTTGCTCACACAGTATATTTTCCTCACTCACTGTCCCATCAATTCAACAGAAAATTTTTCTTAAAACTATACTCTTCAGTATTATTTCTGACCTTTGGAAATGGATATTTCTTGATTACCTAGCCATGTCATTATACATTTAAAGAGAACAATGTAAAGTTGAGTCAGAGAGACTCCCAATGATCTGTCACAATTTAGTAAATGAATTCTGAGTGAACAAACTATAAGTGGACCTGAGTTATAAAACAGGTCATAACTATACAAATTAAACAAAGAATTCCCTGGTGGCTCAAGCAGTAAAGAATCTGACTGCCAACTCAGGAGACCCAGGTTTGATCCCTGGGTCAGGAAGAAACCTGGAGAAGGGAATGCCAACCCACTCCAGTATTCTTACCTGGAGAATGCCATGGACAGAGGAGCTTTGCGGGCCATAGTTCATGAGGCTGCAAAGAGTCAGACACAACTGAGCAAGTAACATCTCAAGCGATATTTAGGAATACTAAAAAGTATTAATGGGGGAGAATGGATATACGCATATATATTGCTGAATTCCCTTCATTGTTCACCTGAAACTATCCTAACACTGTTAATCAGCTATATCTCAATACATAATACAACTTTTTTTAAATAAAGAAAATTCTTTAAAGTCAGAGATGCAATGCCACTTTTAATTTTCAGAAGTGATATTATTTTTAAAATATTTTGAATAGAATGACTAATAAAATAGGACCTCTAATATAACAAGAAAAAAATATAGTATTAATAGTAAAACATGGTAAAATTGGAAGTTCATGGAGTTTAGAGTCAGAGAAACTATAATAGAGTTTGAATCATGGCTAACAATTAACTGCTGATTTGGGGGCAGTTGTGGTCTCCCTGAACCAAAGATACACTTTTTGTACAACTGGGATATGCAGGATGCATGGCTATCCTGAAGATTAGATGAGCATCTACCTACCCAACTGGTGCCTGGCATAAGGTGTTCGGTAAATGTTATTCTCTCTTCTACAAAAGAACTAACAACAGGTAGTGAGGACTGGAGTGAGGACTCGGGCAATGGTAGTAGGTTCTAGTGAGGGGAAGAGAGAGGAAGGGGCATGGTGAAAGAAAAAAAAATGACAGAGGATAAAAATGAAGGACACAATATATCCCCACAGTAAGGATTACTAAATATCATGAAGACAAAAAAACAGGAAAACACAGTGCTAGATCATTAAAATTTCAGCTTTTCAGGAAGGAGTCGAATGCTGAATCCTTAGGTAGATGAGGTTCTGACTGCATGAGAAAAGCCCAGGCTTATGAGACGAAGAAAAAACAAACCTCAAGCCCTGCTTTCCTGGTGGGTTTCTACCTGAAACTTTTGATTTAGAAATTTGTTGGATTTTTCCTGTGCCCCTGATTAGGATTTAATGACTGGGAATGGAAAGGTCTTTTGGAAGAGCGTTCATTTGTTGTGAAGAAATTAGACCCTGAATTCACTTGTTGTTTATTCAAATGATTTGTGACAGGAAGGATTTTTAAAAAGATGCTCCACCTCGGAGATGACATTTTTTTCATCCATAAATATTTCAGAATGTGTCTCTAAAAGGGAAAGACTCTTCTAAAGTGTACCGGAGTACCATTACACATCTAAAAGTTTTAAAAATATTTCCTTAATATCAAACTGGTATTCAATTATGTTCTATTGTCTCTTAATTTTTTAACAAAAGATCCTTTGTTCAACTCAGAATCCAGATGTTTTCTTCCAAACATCCAGGTGCTGGGGGTGAGAAGGTGGCTAATTGAGAGCACAGGTGAAAAAGATCAGACATGAGCTGACAGTTATTAAAGTTGGGCGACTGGTATAAGAGAGTTCATTATACTGCTCTCCCTAATTCTGTATAACCTTCACATTGTTGATAAGGAAAATGCTTTATACTTTCTATAGTAGAAAATTAAACAGAAACAAATATCAATAGTATAAAAATAAAAATAGCTTTATTTTCTATGTATGTTACAGCAACAAAAAGTTGGGCTACACCTATTCAAGGAATAGTTAAAACTTCTACTGAAGTTGCAAACTTACTGAAAATCTTCAAAAGCTATTAAGTTTATGGAATCAATTTTTGCATATCCATTTTTAGTCGATGATCAACACTTTAATAGTACCCTTTCTTAAGAGAGGAATCCTTGTTAAAAATACAAATTCCTGGATCCTACTTCCTTTCAAGTATTCTATAGGATGGGCTTCCCTGGTAGCTCAGGCAGTAAAGAATCCGCCTGCAACGTGGGAGACCTGGGTTCGATCCCTGGATTGGGAAGATCCCATGGAGGAAGGCATGACAACCCACTCCAGTATTCTTGCCTGGGGAGTCCCCATGGACAGAGGGGCCTGACAGGCTATAGTGCGTGGGGTCGCAAAGAGTTGGACACGACTGAGTGACTAAGCACAGCACAGCACATTCTATAGGATAAGTGAGGCCGTCACATCATAGCACAGGCTCGGAGAACACAGTTGAGGAAGGGAAGTCATTTTCAGACCTCGTGAGCCACGAGGCCAACAGAGATTGATGCGTGCGTTCTGCCCTGAGCCACCTCACCTGCTGCCCCTCAGAAGGGCGGTCACAGGAGACTCTGGGGACTTGGCCCCTATCTTCGGACATACATGTGTTATGTAAAAGTCTTGCTGGTGGACAGGAAATGCTTTCATTCCCCCACCTGAACATCTCAGCAGAGGTGCCAGTAGGTTCCAGGAGAGGACCAGCTTAGACAGAGCATCTGTAACTGTGGCACACCTGCTGGTTGCTTTGTCTCTCCCTCCTCGTTAACAGAATCTGGTACAGTGAGGGGCAGCCGGGGGCCTAGACTTTAAAAAAACTATTTCACAACCAGAGGCGGCCATATGACAGAGTCCCTGTTACTGGTGTCACTACCCCACGGGTGGGCTGTGGTGAAGTCCTTTCCAAGGGGATGGGCGGACTGTTTCGCTACATTTTGCCATGGGCCCTTTGCTCCTTTTGTCTCCTTGTCGGTGACTTCACGCGCTGGCTAGTGTCCAAGAACGACCATGTCAGCATGAGGACCCAGCTGAGCCCTGATGGCCGTGGCTCCCAGAGCCCAGGGGCCTCACGTTTCTGTGGCCCCTCGTCGGAAACCCTGCGTTTTCCCTCTTGCACCTCATGCGTCCACAAGTACTTGGCCCCAGGGGAGAATCCGCTGACTCGCAAACCTCCTTCTACGGCTCCCCACTTCCCTTCCCCCCAAGCCACGCACTTGCCACCAGGCTTTCTGCTTCTCTTCACCCTGCACCACCTTCAGGCAGTTGTTCTGTATTATGTCCCAGAGTTACAGCTACTTCCCTTTGAGGTAGGAGATTCCAGCAGGGTGCAAATACATTAGAACTGCTAGAATATACACATTACTACGAACAGCTTCTTGAACAGAGAGTGGAACTCGTAAAACCTGATCCGGTGATAGAGTTCACACAAACAATCCTACCTGAACGTTTTTTGAAGAGCTCTCCATTGTCCACTAAAAGGTTTTGTCAGCCATTTTACAAATATCATTAAGTTACTCCTATGTATGGTTAAGGATTAAGTGATGGCTATAGATAGTCACTGGGATAGAAAAATAAATGAATATTTTTCAGACCATTTCAGGTAATGTAAGTCAGAGGATATATTTAGACTACTAGGTGATGAACAAAGTGTGAGGAAGATGTTGGAGAAGTATATAAAATCATTATTGCCATTTAAAAACCTTATTGAAGAGAAAAAAATAACAAAAATATATTAATGGAAATCAATATATATAATACTAACATATGGAGGAAAAAATGCTGCCGCTGCTGTTTAGTTGCTAAATCACGTCTGACCCTTTGTGGCCCCATAGACTATAGCCCACCAGGTTCCTCTGCTTATGGAATTTCCCTGGTAAGAACACTGGAGTGGACTGCCATTTCCTTTTCTAGGGGATCTTCCCGACCCAGTGATCAAACTCTCATCTCCTGCTTGGCAGGTGAACTCTTTACCCTCGCGACCTGGAGAGCCCTAGAGGAAAAAAATGCATGCCTCTCCCCTGCCAAACTACTGTATTATAGCAAAATAAACAAGGCTAGGGTTAGAGAAATGAATCAATTCTGAATAGATAACATCTGGTAAATTGTGGAATATGATTAGTACACACAGCACATTGGAGATCACCAATAAACTTAGTCTTTCTATAGTAACAGATAATTTAAAAATAAATATTTTAATGTGTGATCTATTCTGTCCATTTCTTGTTATATTTTTCAAAATCAAATATGAAATAAAAGCTAATTTTAAAAATAAAAATGACTCCAGTGTCTGAAGTCTGAGTTATTAAAAGAATAATGAAGCTATTAACAAAAGTAAGTTGGAAGAAACTGATTTAGAAAGAAGAAAAAGAGATTTTATATTTCAAGTATGTTCAATATGCATAAACAGCAGGACAATCCTTGTTTTTTGACCATCATTTTTAGTACAGTACAAGTGAAACAGCAGAAATTTTGACAACACAAAGATTCTGACTATTTGCATCTGAACTTCACTCACTTCCTTGTCTGGTGGCCTCCAGCAAGAGTATAAGATTTGCTTTCCTTCATAGAAAAATTGTGACCAAAACATCAAACTAGAGGGTTATCTTTTGAGAATTAACTGGCATAATTCGAGTAAAATACCAGCAAAGACTAAGGTATTATATGTTAATATCTCCCCCCACTGCTTTCTTCTTCTTCTTCTCTTTCTGAAACCCATTTTGGTTCTGTATGAGTCTCAACTTGAAATTGATTTGTTTGCTAACCATCCTTCAACATGAAATACTCATATCAATCGAACATCCTTTACCCCTGTTCTTTACAAAAGCTATACATTCTTCAAGGCCCAATGAAAGCC